GTGTGTGTGTGTGTGTGTGTGTGTGTGTGTTTGTGTATGTGTGTGTGGCAGGGAAGATTAATACAGTATTAGTAAACATTCGCTGATATAAAATTGTACATTTTAAGCAGTTTTCCGTAGATACGACTATTAACGCAATCCTGCCTAAACAGAGTATAAACTATAACCTGGTCACATCATGGCTACAGCTACAGTGCGTGTACGTGAGTTGTCACGTCTACGTCAGCGCGGAGCAGACGATTTACGTCTAAGAGTAATAAGTCCTATTATATAACGTATGAGTTAACAGACGCGCGAGCCACGAAGTTCACAAGAATGATATCTTAAGATGCTACTGCTACTTTATTCGTTCGGGTTCACAGCGCATGCGCGTTAGCACCAACCACAAGTTTACAAGAACGATATTTTACAATACTACTGCTACGTCAAACTCCACGACAGATGGCGCTCTCGCTCATAGGCTCAATCAAACTCCACGACAGATGGCGCTCTCGCTCTGGCTCAATTCTACTGAGTGTGGGAAGGGGCACTGCATGCAGTTTGAGGCTCAATCTACCGTGTATCCTGAGTGTGCGAAGGGGGGCGCTGCATGCAGTTTGCTGCTACGTGCGGGCGGTTCGCAGCGCATGCGCATTAACACCAACCTTCCCGTTATAATACGTCTCGCCCTGGTCAAACTCGAATATTCCCATCGGACCCTTCATGTGTAGCACGTTGAAACTGAAGTTGCCGAGAGTTGTGACGTTGTAAATGTCTTCGAATGCGGTGGCGACGTCGGCTATGGCCACCGTGGTGCAGTTACCACGCAGGTCGTTGATAATGAAGGCCACACCTACACACACGCGTGCGTGCGTGAGTGAGAGAAGATAATTCAGTTGAATAACAGGTGGCCTACAAACAACATGTTAATTAATAATCAGCAACAGAAACAGTAGCAACAACAACAGCAGCAGCAGTATCTACATAAACAACAGCAACAACAGTAACAACAGAGACACAACCAACCACAACCACAGCGACAACAACAACAACAACAACAACAACAACATGAACAACAACAACCACAACAACCACAACAAATACAGCAACAACAACATCAACAGTAACAACAACTACAGCAACAACAACAATAGCGAAAACAACAACATCAACAACATTGTTGGTTTTATTCGGTCCATCTTATTATCGCTCTAACATGGATCGCCTGAACATATCAGCCTGTTCTGCTTGCATCTATGACAAATACGACATACGCATATATACGCTCTTCCTAGACGAAGATTCTTCCTATGACAAATATTGTTGTATGTGTTGTGCGCATCATAGGAGTTTGGGAGCGCTATTATGAACGCAAGCAGTGAATTTCAGCTGTAAAGCGGAAAGAAGTTGGCTTGCCAATATTTGTCATAGGAAGAATCATCCTATAACAAATAGTGCCATAGGAGAGCGTATATGCGTATGTCATATTTGTCATAGATGCAAGCAGAACATGGCGCGCATTCATAAACTACCCAGAAATTCTCACAAAAATGGCTAATAGTCAATGCCAGTGCAATCTTCATCCTACCGCGAGAGAGACACATTCTTCATTTATCATTAAACATTGCAACGCGTTGCACTTACCGCTGTTGTAGTCGTGGATCTGTGTGACAAAAATCTTGTTAGCTGGGACGGTGATGTTTGGTGCATTCTCCACGTAGGTGGTGATGCGTAGCAGCTTATTATCATAGTCGTACACCTCCTGTAATACAACCCATTTATAGCGGAATCTCAGTACGACCATCACCGATTCTCTTAGTGAAATCAAACGCAACTAAATCTGCATGGTATCGCGACCCATCCTCGTGAATTGACATCAGGTTTCCAAGTTCATCACTACCGTGCACCCGTGAGCGCAGAGCTCATCGATGTACGCGTTTACTGTGACTCACGTGGGTGTGTGGAAGGAGGGACAGGGCAGGCCTCTGAGTGCGTACGCTGATCTATCTCATACTCTCCCGCCTGTAGGTTTTTAGCCGTCTCACGCGCATACGCACACGCACACGTACACAGGCACACGTACACAGGCACACGCGCACGCACACGCGCACGCACACGCACGCACACACACACACACACACGCACGAACGCACGCACGCACGCACGCACGCACACACACACACCCCACACACACACACAAACACGCGCACACGCACACGCACACGCACACGCCCACATACACTCACACGCACAGACATTTACACTCAAAGTACATATACTTACAGTAGTGGTAGATATGGTAAGCACCAAACGGCAAGCACGATTACACTTAATGTTGAAGGTAAAGTAATAATTGCAGAAAGTAATATTTATTCATCTCCCCCTCGGGGGGGGGGGACTATGAACTAACCCCTGAAGCGGCGAGGTACGGCTTTTCATCTACAGTCGCACTCTGTTCGATGATCATGGAGAAAGCCGTGGGGATATCTGGAACCGACTTCTCACTGATCTTACCACTGCAGTAGACTCCGCGGGGAATCTGCGCAAGTAAAGATCCACGGAGGTTAGATTACCTACCGAGAGATGCCGCCACCGATCAGCGCATGCAACGGGATATTCATCTTATGAAATAACGTATAACATGAAATAAAACATTTAATATACAGGATATATCAAATTGTAGAAAAATAGGCGCATCAGGAATATATAATGTGTAATATAAATGTGTAAATATAAACCAAGGATCACGTTTCAAAAACGGGGTTCAAACAATGAAGAACATATAGGTGTAATTGACAACATACCATGTTGAATTTTTAGAAAATGGATATTTAATAATACATTATTGCACCATCGGTCACCATGTTGCAGACGAGGATACTATTTGATATTTCGCGTCCGTCGAACGGTGTTTTTACACGAATGATACATAGCGGAATCTCTGTGCCGCCAACCCCCATTCTTAGTAAAAAACAAACGCAAATAAATCTACATGGTATCAGGGGTTAATATAATGACAAATTTGTTATTGTTATTTGTCATTATTAACCCCTGATGGTATCTTGACACATTCTTGTGAACCAAGAGTCCAAGTTCATCGCTACCATTCTTACCTGAAATATCTCTGTATGTTCTGGATAAGAGATTTCCTCAAAGGCAGTGAAATCGTAGACATGAGTGATCTGTCGGACCGTCGATCCGTCCTTCACGGTGCCGTTAACGACGGCACGCAGCGGCACGACGTGTTGACCCGTGTAAGTGTAAGCATCCTCTGTAAGTGTAAGTGTGAGTGTAAGTGTAAGTGTAAGTGTGAGTGTAAGTGTAAGTGTAAGTGTAAGTGTAAGTGTAAGTGTAAGTGTAAGTGTAAGCATCCTCTGTAAGTCACGCATTTACCTGTACATCTTTATCTCAAGATAGGATACTAGTTATGATATATATATATATCCATATTAGAACTTAAAAATATAACTATATATATACGTAATATCCCGGTTCTTATTATTTAATATGCGATGACAGTGTATAATGAACAACTTTGTTTCAAACGCGCGTATTGGCTGTCGCGATGAGTAATCACAGACAGATGGTTAAGATGTGCTCAATGGCGTGATTTCTTCGCATTTATTCCTCATTATTCCACGTAATAAAAAAACAAAACGATATCCCGGCCATCTGGTGGCGCCACCGTATCAAACGCGTCATTCGTGGGGTCTGCTAGAAGCAGTTTGATCGCAAGTGGGTGATAGCAGCATGAGTGTATAATACAGAGATCTCTATATTATACACTTCGGATAGAAGCGCATCGAAGACATACGCGAGAAGAAATAGTCGAGCTTCAGACTGTAGTCGTCGTCATGCTTGAGCGTGGACTGCCACTGAAGAGCGGGAATGCCCCGTACCGTCTCCTTGTCACCAATGTACGTCTGCAACAATAACAACATGTAGAAGACATGTGTGGACAAGCTGAACAGGGCTTCAGCTGAGTGGTTGTAGTGGGGGTTGTCAGTGAGATAATCTTATCGCTACGTACATGCAATACATAACAGAGCCTTCTTGGTGATATTTAATTTCCTTAATGTCTCTCCCGCGCTCTCTCTCTCTCTCTCTCTCTTTTTTCTCTCTTCCTCTACTCTTTCTCGTCTCTCTCTCTCTAATTTTCGGCTCTCTCTTTCTCTCTCGTCTCTCTCTCTCTCTTCCTCTGCTTATTATCTTCTCTCTCTCTCTCTATTTCTCTCTCTCTCCTGTCAGTCTCCGTGTCTGTTTTTCTCTCTCTTTTTCTTTCTCTCTCTCTGCTTCCTGACTCACGCTCTTCCGTCCTTCTTCGGTCTGCTCTCTGGGGTCGCTGCATATTTCTTTTTCTTTCTTTCTCTTCTCTCTCTCGGCTCTCTCTTCTCTCTGCTCTCTCTCTCTCTCTGCTCTCCTGCTCTGTGGCGTGGCGTGCGTGCGTGGGTCCGGCGTGCGTGTGCGTGTGGCTCTAATACTAATAAACATGTCACCGTCATTGTATTTGGGCCGCGAATCGGAACAGTTCGCATGGCTGTAAACGGGTGCAGAGATCGTTGCCAGTGTCGTGTCCGAAAATGTCACCGAAAGAGCTATTGCTGATCCAGTCGTGAAACAGTTGTTCGTCTGCAAGGGTCAAACACGTGACTATAATATATCTGCACGCGATTGATTTGATAGGAGAGGTAGCTAGTTTTGTGGACAGGTGTATATTGGCGTGAGCGGGTGGCAAGTGGTATGTGTGTGCGTGCGTGCGTGCCGTGCATTTGGTGTTGTGGCGCGCGTGCGATGCGTGCGTGCGTGCGTGTATGTGTGTGTGTTGCGCGGCGTGCGGTGCGTGCGTGCGTGCGTGCGTGATATTGTGTGTGTGTGTGTCGCAAGCGGGGCGTTGCGTGCGTGCGTGCGTGTGTGTGTGTGTGTGTGTGTGTGTGCGGTGGGCGTGCGTGCGTGCGGTGTGTGTGTGTCGTTGAGATTCGGTCGAAGAGATGGCATTCAGATGCGTTTTTCGTTTCAACACATTATTTGCACATTATTTCATTTCTATGTCAGCACTGACGAAGATAACTACGAAAAATAACTACTAGGTACTAGCACAGCGAAAGCTGACACGTTTCGAATGATGAAATTCAGTAATAGTCAAGTGCATAATCAATCATAAACCAACGTTCGTAGTCCATCACAAGACCAATAAATAACGTTCATAAAAGAAAGCGCGGGGAATTGTTTATGACAGTTTCGGGCCCCGGAAACGAGACGAACAGCAAAACGTACTGATGATGTAAACTTGATTAACGTCGTAGTCAAGCAAAGGTGGAATTTCTCGTGCGGCGAGGCGTGCACCTGAATCTTCGCCCTGTTATACGTGTAGTCGTACTCTCGCTCGTTCGTATCGTATAGCTTTTATCTAGGATGTTAGCTTCTACACGGGCTGCGAACGATCGGGCAGCGTCGGAAGGGGCGGATCTGCAATGCAAACATATCGTAAAGCGAGTTGAGAATGTGTGGAGGCGGAGGGGTGGGTGTGGGTGGAGGTCGAGCAGGATGGGGTAGAGGAGGTGGGGTGTTGGGTTTGTGGCGGATGGGGGAAGCGTTCCGCTCTACAAAGTGTTTATTCCCATTTCGCCATTTCCACTTGCATTAAAATTTCCAACTTCGCCATTTGCCCATTTCGCCATTTCGATGTCGCCAGCTTTCCCGACTTTGCCATGTTTTCCATTTCGCCAGTTTCTCGTTTCGGCCAGTTTCCATTCCGCATTTCGCTGCCTATCTCCCCGACCACCCCCTTGCTTCGAGGTGGGTTAAAAGTAGGCCTCTGGAATGAATAAATTATAAACGCATCTTTAGATATGGAGTCAACTATTTATTTGACAGAACAAGAAGGCGAAAATCGTTATAGTAATCAAAAATATGGATCATGTACGCTGCACGCCTAACGCCTAACACTTAGGAATGACTCTTTTTATAAGAATGACAGGTCATCAATTTTCGTGCAGGGGAGTGAAAGCAACATAAAATATTGGCGAAATGGAAACTGCGATATGTGGGAAAATGGCGAAATGGGAAAATGGCGAACATGGTTAATGGTCGAAATTGTCAAATGAGCGAAGTGGGAAACTGGCGAAATGGGAAGACACCTCTGCAAAAATGGTTGTATCACCATGTAGAATTATGTCATAGTTTGCTACGTGACTTAGTATTGTACATAAGCCCGGTTTTGTTTTAGCGCTTTAGTTAAAGTCTTAAATCTTGTCTATATGCGTTTATATATATGCCAGGCTAGAGCAGCAGCCAGCAGGTCCAAGCAGGCAGCAGTAGGAGCAGTCAGCATCGTAGTACAGTAGAAAGCAGCAGCAGCTGCAATCAGGATCAGCAGTGTAAATAGTAGCAGAAACAGCAGCCGCAGCAGCAGCAATAACAGCCAGCCAGTAGGCCAAGTAGCAACAGCAACAACAGCAACAGCAGCATCAGAGGAGGAGAAGTAAAAGAGAAATAACAAGTATAAACAACTACCTGATCTGAAACATCCGGCGCCTATCGCGTGCGGGACCCAAGACTACAGCCAAAATCCATGATCAATCTGTATATCATATCAGTTATAATACAGCAGTAGTTATAGATAATATACAACGACGAAGACGTCTACCATTGACAAACGTCCGGCATCAACTATACGGACGATCGGTGAGCACATGCGCATTATTCCCTGACATGTGATTTCGTGTCAGGTGTATCTAGCCAGGTACGAGATATCTAAGAACCCATAAACTATACACATATATGCGGATATAGCAAACACGGGTGCGATATACATATATGATATATATATATATATATTATTTCGCGCACACCGCTACAAGACACTCGCATCATGCACACGCCACCACATGCACACGCACACGCACACGTCACGCAGACGGCCACGCACACCGCACAGCGACACGCCACACACACATACATATATATATATATATATACTATATATATATATAGTGTACTATATATCATATACTATTATATATACGTCTATACTATAAGCGGAATGTTTTTTTGTGGCTCGCCAAACTCTTCCTAAACTGCAGGCCCATTTTCAACCAATTTCTTTTGCCTGTTGGTGCAGAGCCACGTGCGGTTGGCGTTCTGGGAAGTAGAATAAGAGCAGTTCTCCTCTTTGGAAGGACCCCGCCAGGCGCGGATGTAGACCGGTTTGCACCGGTTTCCAGAAACCAGTCACAGGCTGGGTATCTTCAGAATTGACCTTCAAAATTCACCAGAGTGCACCAATATAGCCTAATTTTTTAAAAATTCCCGAGGGGCATGCCTCCGGACCCCCCTAGCTGTGACTAGAACTATGGAAACTGATGAAACTGAACTATGGAACTATGGAACTACTATGGAACTACTATAGAACTACTATGGAACTACTATGGAACTACTATGGAACTACTGAACTATGGAACTGGTCACCCAAACCCTCTGGATCCGCCCCTGCCCGCCAGGAGCAGGACGGACCCCTTTGCCTCCCACGCTAGCCGCCGCCCCGCACATATTCAATTCTGTTGAGGTTATACATTGTAGTGGGTAAATGTCCAGGAATAATTGGGTTGTGAAACATGTCGATCCTTTAGTGACTTAGGATCCTTATAGGCGGCAAATCTTTCAAACCTCATGTTTCTTCAATGTTTGTTAGATTGTATGATGAGACGTGTATGTGCGTATACCTACTATTTGCTGAAGAAAATGACATTTTATTGGAGGTAAATATTTACAAAAGAGAGGATATACCCAAGATTAAGTTTCTATAAAAAAATGTGAAACGCACCACCTCCCTTATATAATAAAGGGGAGCTAAATCTCTACATCCCGATTTCCTGCAAACTTATGTGCATTTTTCTTTGCCGTTAGTCGGCGTTGGCGTCGCGTACGAGAAGTAGTGACAGAGCACATAACACTGATCTCTATAATATAATCTGATTATATTATAGAGATCAGTGGCACATAAATCCCGAGAAGTAGTGACGAGTCACGAGAAGTAGTGACGAGTCACGATAAGTCACGAGAAGTAGTGACAGAGCACATGGTGATTTATGTGCTATGGTAGTGAGTAATGCTAAACGAAATATATGTATTTTTTGAAATTATACACCGCTAGAAAGCTCATACCTAGGAGTAATCTGATATGAAATACGTCGATGCCAATACGTCCCTCTATTAATCAAAACGCAACAAATCATCCATACTTCCTCAAAACGTAAGAGAAATGTTTAAATCAGATGTGTCTCTTCGCATGCCCTCTATCTGCTAAAGGAAATCGCATTTTGTTGGAAGTATTTATTTAAAAAAACATAGGGCAAACTCAGGAGAAGGCTTCTATAAAAATGTAAAACGCATCACCTCCTTTATATAATAAGAGGGAGTCTCTAAAGATCTAGCCTTCCACGAATCCTCGTAATGCCGAATTAAATTATGTACATTTTCTCTGCCGTTGGTCGGCGCTGGGGTCGCGTATAGAAGCTTAGCTCAATAAATTTTGACCTAGAAATGTTTATGATCTGGCGTTAATCTAGGTTCTCTATCCTAGAACAACGCCATGCAGATCATAAAATATCTGTAGCACAATTTATTGCTCTAATAGAAGTAGTGTATGAAGCTAAACGAAATTTATTCCTTCCTATATAATCAAGGTTGCTGGAATTTTGCCTGGAAGCGTAAAGCCACGCGCTAGCTATCTCTGCCTTGAGCAGTTGACCGTGGCCAGTTTTGCGTTACCGCTTCAAACTCCAGAAGTAACTGCCGCTCTGTACCACATAGTTAATTAATTACGGCCCTGAAATGAAATGTAAATCTTTGAAGGATACATAAATGCGTCTTCCGTAATCCGGAGATCGGCGTATCAGCGATGACGTCACCATGCCGGCTTGATTGCAGCCTCCTATGGGCCTTTTCCCGGTACGATAATAGAGGTAGAATATTGATCTACATACTATATCTACGGTACGATCATAGATATAAAATATAGATCTATATTCTATATCTACGGTGTGATCAGATCGAAGCGACGTCGCCGCATGGCAGGGAATCTTGCGGTTAGCGCCGGAGACAGTTAATTTATGCTATCTTCTCATGCGCACTGCTCCGGATGGTTGTTTGCTTGCAATCATGCTCATGCCTAGTTTTGATGAGACACAATGAGTATATTAATACAGCTAGGAGAGGGACGCACGTTTACAATGCATGTATTGATACCTTGAGATATCGTAACACATTCTAGCTGTAATTTATGTAATAGGTCTATTATATATTGTCTATTGTATAATATACTTTGTATATTGTATCTATTATATATGACATAGTCTATTATCCAGAAGATGTTGGATCGAATACCAAAACAGAACAACAGCGATGAAATGCATCTATGTCTACTTTTAGAATGCCAAAAATCTAGCTTGCTAACATGCTTTGCAACTCGAAGAGGATGTAGTGTTCGGTAAAGAACGGGGTGGAAAATGTCTACTGTATCTTACTAAATTTGTGAATTCCGCGAAAGTGAATGCTTTACAAATGCTGACCTGCCTGAGAGAGAATGCATCCTTTGTGGCACATAATCATCGCGCGTTAGTATAGAATCGCGCGCGATGCGAGGAAGTAGGTTATTGTACGCGGACTATTGTATACGGATATCAGACCTCACAGACCATAGATACATACAATACACACACGCACACGCACACGCACTCACGCACGCACGCACACACTCACGCACTCACGCACATAGGTACGCACGCACGCATTCGCGCACATAAGAACGCACGCACACATTCACGCACATAAGAACGCACGCACACATTCACGCACAGAGAAATGTAAGCACACTAATGAATATAAGCGACGAATAATGACAGGCAAGACAGTCAGTTCCACGCAAACGCTCCCTCACACACATGCACAATAGCACGCACTAGTATATATAAATAGAGAGAGAGAGACTAGCAGAGATGGAGATGCACGATAATGGACTATATAGCATCGGCCGTGTAGCGTGACAAACCCGCACGCAAACAATGAGACCCGAAATATGACAGCCTGCCGCGGCAGTGTGGCGCCTCGAGCTCACCTCAATCCGCTGACTCGCGCGCGCTGCGCTGCTGCTGCTGCCGACACGGCGCGTAACACGGTAGCCCACTTGTAGAATATATATATATATATTACAATAGACTTTGTCGTATATCTAATATACTAATAATTAATGCGTGTGTGGATTGGTTGTTCGTGACGTCATGCGCGGTGCTGCGGGTTTAGGCGTGTCGGCCGGCGTGTGATGTGTGCGGCTGACGTGTTGTAAGGCCAATAAGAATCACGTCTGCTCAAGGCGGTGCCTGCCTCGTTTGATTGACCGCTCGTGCGAGCGCGGCAGCAGTCAACAGCACATTCTACAGCCGTCATCGTCACACAGACACATAACAATGCAGGAAATACCGTTCGCGTGCGCGTTAGCGTGCGTGGTCCCTACTGGCGTGTGCGCTGTGCTGTGTGTGCTTAGTGCGTTGGCTTTACGTCACGCAAACAATGATCCGCCACAATAGCGAAAACAATATAGCGACGCGTGGTTCACGAGATAATTTTCTATAAGATCAAATCGGAATTATACTCTCTCGACACTACAGAGGTACACACTGCCTACTAATTATCTCTATAATAAACTAAAGTATCAGCCGGCGATAGAATAACGTAATGCATGCGATCCTCATTAATACTGGAAGAATATCATAGACAACGTCCGTCGACATTCTAATAAAAATACAATTCATAACAGAATGCATTTGACGAGAAAAACTATTGACGCGAAGACAAGTAAAATTCATAAGTTACATGAACGAGCGAGCGAGCGTATATATCTGTAATTAGCATGGGCACCTAGAAGCATCGCAAGAACAGAGATAATGCGAATGTTGTTCTTTCTCTCTCTTTATTTCTATTTTGTTCTTCTCTCTTCCTTATTCACGCACATTCGCTCACCCACAACTCGTCACCACTCACCACCAACCGCACGCCACTCATCCACTCACTCACCACTTCCTCTCAATACCATAACTTAAACAACGTAAAGCTAATACTATACAATCCTGCACCTTAACGATATGTCACATCGAACGAATTAGAAGCACGAAGGCCCACTAGACCACTCAGCGGGCGGGTGATATAGAAGCAGGGTGGACGACAAGATGCGTGTGTCAACACTCATTAGCACAATCTGTCTATCACACGAAAAGTCCATCCTGCAACACTGTACCATCACGCTGTCCACTAGTCAACCTACATGTCATCACGAATGTCCATCTGTCAACACATGTCATCACGAATGTCCATCTGTCAACACATGTCATCACGAATGTATCAACTACTAGGGGCACCCGTTGTCAAACAAAATGATTGTAACATTAGTATTAACATTTAACTTTCTCGCAGATCGTCACATAAACACGGTAAAGCTACGATTGTCTCTATACAGAGATCCAATACAAGAAAAAGTTCATGTAAAGACTAAATTTTTTAGACTAATTTTGTTTCTGACTACGGACGACAGAGTGTAGTAGATACATGTGAGTGACGCTGCATTTCTTACTCAAGGCAACGCATTGAGTCGCGTTCCGTTACAAAATGAGAAAACTTTCGATGAGCACTAAAACGCATCTTCACTAAGGTCCCTACTGAAACAAAGCACCACGCTGTGATCGATATATATAACAGGTAACATGACTCTCACAACGATACGCACTGGAAAGACGAGGAGGAAATGGAACAGAACGATTTATTCTCTACTTCTATTTTCGGATGAATAGACGCGCGCGCGCGCGCAGGACAGCGCTTAATGATTAATGGCGGACAGTGAGCCCCTATTGGTCGAATCAAATCACGTGTCTACCTGCTGCCAAATTTGATTTTAAAGAAGTAATGCTATTTATCAGTTGGAGTCGCATTTAGCCGTTCTTAACGCGGTATTTGACAGCCAACACTAGCAGAACTCCATTGTCAGCAAAGGCAAACACTGCTCACCCAAAACTATCGACTGATTGGGGCCGTAATAAATTTAGTTTGACTTGTCAAGGCAGATGATACCACCGTCTTTATCACACCTTGAGTAATCGTGAAATGATTCTGGGCATTACCAATTAACCTTACTTGGCTATTCTCTTGTAAATGCACTTGTAATCGCATGCCAATTTCCACAATATTGAGATGTTCAACTTTGCTATTTAACGATTGCACATAATCATCGGCGTCGGATTTCGCTGTTGTGGCTTCGTGATTGCACGGGTACTGGTTGGTTGGCGGTAGGGAATGACCTAGCAGCAGCGGCAGCAGTAGTACCAGCAACACTCTGTACAGCTAGCTGCTGCTGGTACTACACTTCTCTGACCCTGATTCGTGTTCGCTGCATCCCTGGCTACGTTTTATTGTTGCTATTGTTGCTGCTGCTGTTGTTGCTTGTTGGCATGGCGACGGTTCTGCGTCTTCAGCGACGCGCCGCTCGGCTGTCTCCTCACGCCGAATCCCCTCGCCTCGCCGCTGTCATCATCCCCGCTCCACCTCCTCACCATTGGCCAATCACGGCTCAGCTGCTCGCTGAGTCCGGCCAATAGCGGCAGGCTCGCCAGCATCTGTTCCCTCGCGCCACGCGAAACAGGTGGCGCCGCCGCGGCGCCGACGGTGACCCGGCGCGCCCGTGTCTCGCCGGTGTTCGTCCGAGCGACCGCCGCCGCCGCCGTCGCGCCGCTCATCGCCGTCGCTGAGCGACATCGCGGTAGCGTGTTTGTCTCGGCGGGCGGCGGCGCCCCCTCTGCGTCCGTGCCGACACCGCTATCACAGCAAGTTGTCGCGTCCACCCGCGCGCACGACGATCGCGGGACGGTGGCGCCACCTTCTCGCTCGGAAGTCGGACGGAGGTCGGCTTCGTCGTCCGATAGATCGCAGTCGGAGAGGGCGCCGCGGTCACTGGCGTCCGTGCGCAGACTCGACACAGTTATGTCGTCTGTGATGGATGGAGAGGAGAATGAGAATAAATGACACGAAACATCGAGTAAATAATACTAATAATGACTAATGCTACTAATAATAATAATAATAATAATGATCATGATAAATTTAAACAAATTGTTTCTCCATAGTATTTAATTCAAAAAAGAAATAAAAAAGGGAAAACGTGCCTTTTTGTGCTTGTGAAATTCAGTACGTTTAACAACCAAAAAACACAGACTTCCTCAGAAATCCCCGCAAGAGCCCCAGCACTTAAATGCCGCCCTCACACCTCTAAACGACTCTCAGGCAACTCTGAGAAACCAGCAACGCTTCGAAGTTTCCTTTGCAGCCGTTACAATGGCCACTCCGCCGCTCCACTGTTCTCATTACCTAACTCTGCATCCGGTAGCGATGCTGTCGACCCTTCCATGAGACTAGCTTTTGCTCGCAGGTTATCGAGATCGGGAACAGGAGACGTCCTGTCTTTGGCTTCCTCTGCTCCTACCCCTGGCTCCCTCTGTTTGTCCTGCAGACGCTGACTGTGTATCTCTTCCGAGATCTACAGAGTTAGAAGGAAATGTCAGACTGTGTTCCCGAGCACAATATCTATGTCTACTAGATGCATGCATGATCATTTCAATGAGACAGATTTTTATTTTTATTGAGAGCGAGCCAAACTGCACCACAGAGCGAGTTATGACTCGATTAGGCACAAAGAATTGAAGATGATCTATAAATATAACATGGCTCTATACTGTTCACACACATGAACATTCCTCCATACTATCTGCACACGTGACACAACAATAGAACATCCCAAGCAGACTCGCTTGATGTGTAACGAGATAAGCTTGCGTGAGAAGAGAACTTTGAAGCGGTAATTACTCCCGGCATAGTTAACTTCCAATCTCAAGGTCATCATTACCTGTTCAAGGTTATTAAGCGCGTCTGCATATTGTCTCTTCGTCGTCTGCACTGTTCGCTGTAGCCCCTCTATGCTTCGCTTCTTATCTTGCAGAAATGCTTGAAACTTGTCTTTCCGCTCGAAGTAATTCCTGAAAAGCGTGGACGCGCGAGACTCGCAGATTAATACGATAGTCGGGAAAACGCCGAGAGTTACAACAATATAGTAACATTCGAGGAAGAAACATGTGGGCAGATGCATGAACCGGTACCGGTTCCTCAAAGAAATCTCGCGAAAATTAAAATCGCTCTGGCTCTATTATGGATGCTCAATGTCTTAAACATGCGCATCGACTGACGAAAGGGTTTTGTACTTGGAAAGAGTGCCATCGCTCGTGCTATCACAAACTCAAGGACCGATGGGCAGATAAACGAGCTATCCGTCAACGCCACGGCTCTCTCTCTCCTAAACAGCACATACCTGGATTTGTTGATGGCACTGCGTAGCTCCTTCTCTAGCTTGTAGAGGCGCTGCTCGGCCGTCACGAACTGTGCGGATTTCTCCTGATGATCGCTTTCGTTCTTCAGCTTTGCCGACTCCGCCTCGTTTAGCTGTAAGGTTGTAAACAATTTTATTGAGTTTGTTCTATGGATGCTACCACCTCTACCTCACAGGCTTTGCGTAGTCTCCTTAACTACTCGCGTTACTACTCCTGTTACTGTTCCGAAACCAACATCGTTAATGTTACCGTCGCTGCTGCCAACATTAATAGTGACCATCTATGATGGTCACCCTTGTCATCACAAAACACTACCACAAATAACATCATGTTACTACCAACTCTGCCGCCACTGCTGCTGCTGCAACACACAGCACAGCAGGAACAGTAGCAGCACCGCCACCACCACCACCAGCAGCAGCAGCAGCAGCAGCAGCAACAACAACAACAACAACAACAACAACAACAACAACAACAACAACAACAACAACAACAACAACAACCACCACCACCACCTCCTCACCTTCATCGTAGCGTGGTTGATCATCTCCTGCCATGCGGAGTCGAACACTCGCTTGTCGTTCATGTTCAGCAGACGTTGTTCTGCGAGGTAGATCGTTTCTTTCGCCGCCTGGTGTTCGCTGTTCGCTCGCTGGAACTGTATCGCCGCCTTCTGCGCCTCCCGGTGAGCCTGCACACGAACAGACGAAGAGTGAAACAAGAGAACGTTCGAGCGGTCGCGCACCGGACCGACGATAGTTTTGTTGGTTTGTAATAGACTGACCAGTGACAGATATGTAGGGAAGGTAGGTAGAAACCCACTTCACCCAATATCTTTACCCACTAATATCATGTTACAATGCTATCTTTGCGTACAGACCGTGTAGTAACCGGGGACCCGGGGTCGGAAACATAACTTAATCTTAACGTGAGCGTTAACACAACCTTTTCCTCGTCGACCATTGACAGAAACAGGGTACAGTCACGAGCTTCTTACACACAGTGTGTAGAGGTGCGATTTACGAGAATAGGTTAATGTTAAAACTAATGTCAGGCCATCCTTAAAAAATTCTATGTTTGCTGTCCCCCGACCCATGATTTTTTTAGTGGGTAGGTAGGTAGGTCTTTTTTTTGTGTGAGGCATAATAGTTATTTTAAGTCTGTCCTCATGTTTGCCACACATGCTTTGTGTTTCAGTCTTAACTATGAGGAATGTAAAAAAAAAAAAAAAATAGGAACCCAAAATGTAAAAAAAAAATTTTGGGTCGCGGCTATTTTCGTGGGTCGGTCGGAGGACAGCAAACATATAATTTTTTAAAGATGGCCTCAAGACTAATTTTTTTTCTGACGACGGGTCCCCAGCACCTTGGCACACTGACCTTGGGCGACTACAAGCAGGAAACGACGCGTTATTAGGAACGAGTTAATAGTTTAGCGTGTGTGTGTGTGTATAGGTAGCGCGCACCTTGAAGGCGACATCTCTGGCTTCGTAGTAGGGTCGAGCTTTCTCCACACTCTTGCCCAGTTTCTTCGCTAGCTGTTTCAACTGCTGGCTGGACTCGGACAAGGTGGTTCTGAAGACAGAATTCGCTGCCTGCAGACGATACAAATACAGAACTTATAGATATATATATATAGATGCCAGCCAGACTCACGGGCTCTCGGTAACAGATGCAGTTAGCTCGCTGGTTAAATTGGAGGTAGCTCTATCTGTGTAGCCCCTTCGCTCCCGTGGCATGCTGTCCCTTCGCTCCAAAGGGGTTACACCGGTAGAGCTAAATTGTAGGGTGATCAGGTACATGGGATGATGGGAGTCACTGAATGCAAGTATGTTATAAGCTGTTATTAACTCTTGGTGCTACTACGAGTAACTAAAAACAAAATATATGTGTGGTTACCGTTACATGCCGAAAAAAATAGGGTAGGTAGTCAAGGAAAACATTTTATTTTCTTGAAATATTTTATTTACGAACCATGTCCGAAGGATGTGCGTAGGTTTGTCCAATTCATATTCTTTTCTTTTTTTTAAGAAAATTGACAATTAAAATGTTTAGGGTCGCTGGGAATAAATAGGGTCGGTCGGGAAACGGTAACCACACCTATATTTTGTTTTGGCCTAACTAAAAACAAAATTGTTTTAATTCACTCCTGTTGCTACGTATGTACTGGGTTTAACCTTGGAGTAATCATTCAGAATGAACATGTGTGACACTGACAGTGTTAAACCTTTTAATAATGACAGAATTTGTCACTATTCACCCCTGATATGCTGCAGCTTTGTCATATGCAAACACAATGTTAATGCACCAATTAAACCTAACACCTGACACAAATAACGTCAACACTGACATTGATGGGCCATGTCCCGCATCAGCTACCACTGTAACTTTGAATAAGATTAGCGATGCAAGTCATTCATACAGCAGTCATCACTGACTAGTTTTTACGACGTGTCAGGACGGAGTAAGTGATTTACCGGGCAGGCTCGCTCGAATGCCAGAGTATTTCTGATGGCTTGATATGTTAATTATGACGGTGTTATCTCTACGTTATTCAGCTCAGGTATGCACCACGGTTACGGAGGACACACTGTGTCGTCTGCAAATGCTCGCTGGTCGCTTAACACCAAGGACGGGTATTGTTGTTTTGTCATTTTGTCTCCAGTCGCGCAGTTAAGAGAGCATCTGTATATTTGGTTTCTAAGCGACGTTTTGCTCCCACAACATTCTGAATATTCCCGTCGAACATTTCTGAAACAATGTTTTTTGGTCTGGCAAGTGTGCGGATTTCTGTGAACAACTGGCTGAGCCGCACATTGCCGAACATTCTGCAGCAGAACAACTCCGTGCGCATCTTGATAGCTGTGTTGTAAAGAGTACGTGATCGGCGCCATGATTGGGCCACAAAAATCATATGACCACATATTCGTTGGCTGCCTATTGGTTACTTACTTTCAATGTTCCTAGAAATTGTTCGACTTCAGCGCACTGACGAAATTCACGAACAATGTTCGACCGATTATCAAACATTTCCGATCTTCAGAAACATTGTTCGCTGGTCATGGGAAAAAAAACAAATGTTTTTCGGCGGCATTTTTCCCGCACTTGCCGCAACATTTCATGTGAACATTGCTACCGATAATGTTTTTTGAGCAAAATGTTCGGCACATGTTCGCCAGGGCTTACGTAACCGCCGTATGCAGTTGTTGAAGATTTGCCGAATAGCGATTTACGATTTGACCTGTTAGAGTGTCACGCTCTCGTTCGGGGGTGCGTCGAGAGATCGGCAATGCCGTAACGCCCCTCCTCATGCCGTGGTGTGTATGTTAGCTTTGGTGATATGCTTTCATTGATTGCGTTGCTTCGGTATGGCTACTTGGTGGCGCCCACGCCTGCCTCGTGACAGCAGCATGCATGCTAGCCTTCTTGGAATTTATTAGGATTCTTCGCTCGCGTTTACAGCCTGTGGCGTGCGTGCCTGTGTCTCGTCGTCTTAGGGCGGCGGCGGCCCTGCGTCGCGTGTGTGTGTGCTGTTTACGCCTCACATTTCACCATAGGCCTTCTGGTGGTTGTAGGCGCTGGTGATAAATTGGAAGTCAGCTACCGGCGGAG